GCAACGTTGAGGCTCAGTTCGCTAAAATGATTAATGAAATCGGGGCAGCGCAACATGTCGTCCAACCGACGCGCATAACTCCGCATTCGGCATCTTGTCTGGACCTAATGTTTACGAGCTGAGAGCAGGATCTGACAGAGGTCAGAGTCCTCGAACCTCCAGCGAACAGTGACCAATGCTGCACTCTGGCAAGCAGAGAACTGCTGTTACCGCGTTATAACCAACGGAATGCTACATGCGGCTATTGGAAGATGGAGTTCAACAGGCTGGTCCAAACCGCAAGTCAGACTGATTGGACACTACCACACCATATGTCGTTTGAGGACTCGGTCATCAATGAACGAGAGGCCTAAGTCGCTGTGTACTCGGTTCGTACCCACGAAGTATTAAAATTTCGGGCCTGTCAAACCACGTTGGCTTGATACGGAATATAGACAGCGCGACGGCGTCGCAAACGTTTGGTTAGATACATAGTGTGAGGTTGTGATTATGATTACTTGGTGTACAAGTGACAGCGTAAAATTTGTACCGCCGCAAAGATTAAGAAACGCCTGCCGTTCTAAGAGGAGCTAGCAGCCTAAGCCACAATCGCCACAAGAGACCAGTTGCCTAGCATTAGCTTCAAATGAAAGCTGTGGGCAACCCGGCGGTCTTAGAGAGCTTGAACCTACAAACGCTCATTTCAAGCGCGTAGCAGGCGGACGCCTTTGCTTCGCACATCCTCAGCTTTTTCCATTAAACCGGCGGTTGTTCCAATACCGGCACTGATTGCGCCGGCATTGCTTGACAGCCTACAATGTGATGCAGTTGAAGCATATCAGCCACTTGTTAACCTCGATGGTGCAAAGCGCACCGGACCAGACGGACTTCAGCTACTAATACTTAAGTCACTATCTAATGTCGTCACACCAACGGTGACCAACCTAATCAATAAAGCACTCTCTGAACTATCTGTCCGCAACAAATGGAAATGCTCGATAGTGAGACCGCTTCCCAAGGGTGGTGATCAGAGTAAAATACAGAGTTGCAGACCGATCTGTGGGAGGTCGATATTGTCCAAAGTTAGCGTGGTTGTGAAAAATTGTCTGCTGTCGCTTTTCAAAGCATAAGCAACACGGCTTCACGAAAGGGCGATCCTGCACCACCAACTTGATGTACGCAAACCACCAGTGGATAAGAGCTCTCAACGAACGGATGGATGTTGAGGTGGTGTACGTTGACTATAGTAAGGCGTTTGATAGAGTGAACCATTAGGTACTCCTTCGTAAACTGAGGACCTACGGAAACGGTAGCAAACTACTTCAGTGGTTATACTAGCTTATTATGGACCGGAAGTTTAGAGTACGGGTCAATGACAGGCTGGTTCCCATTGACCAGTGGCGTGCCTCAGGGAGCTGTAGTTGGGCTAGTGTTATTTCTTATTAATATAAACGAGCTCTCGCAGTGGCTTTAGTTACCATGTGTCCTGTTTGCGGATGGTTTAAAACTCTGGAGGATCATCGAGAACCAAGACGATTGCGCTCGACGCTAGTATCACTTAGACCGCCTGTCCACGTAGTCCGCTGAAACGCAACCCCCTTTTAACGCAAGCAAGTCGGAGTTCATCAGAACTATCAGACGTACAGCCATTCGAGCATACACCTTGGGCTGCCAGTTGCTCCACCTCAACACATCTGCCAGAGACTTAGGGGTGCTCACGCGACATGAGATCAGCTCACTTGCAAATCCGATGTTCTAGGCATTACAATACAGTTTCTCCACATGGTGCGAAGAAACCGGCCCTTGACTATTCACCTCGTTCAACAGATAATCCTTGAATACGGCGCCCCAGCGTACCATCCGATAACCGAGTGGGAAACGGAACAACCAGTGAAAAGACAGCATATCGCAACTAGAATGATTCTCCGTCTACGAATGCTTCCGTAGAAAAGACCTTTTGAAATGCACGGACTCTACACACTATCCTACTACGGAGTAAGAATTGACCTTAAAATGACCCATCGAATACTACACTTGAATACTTTCCCATAATGCAGTTAACAATTCACCTGCGGGAACCCTGTAACACCCTAGGACACCAGTACAAATTCTGGGTCCCATGCATGAACAGGGTATCAAAGCAGCTTTTAATCGCAATAAGAATCGTAAAGTTATGAAATACACTACCAGAAGGACTAATACCTGCCGATGCTGTTAAGTGTTTCAAAAGATACATCGTCACTTATTTCGGAAAACTATGCTTTTGTGAAACAATGCACATTAAATGCAACAAAATACATCCTATGACCATGAATATTGACGCCATTACGAATTCCTAACCAAAAAAGTACTAATAAAGTGAACAAACACTACCGCTGACATTCGGCAACTAAGAGTTTTGAGTTTGCGTAATTCGATAGAGTTGTACAGCAAATTTTCGACGTATCTTTAATATGCTCTCGGTCTCAGTACGGAAAACGTGAGGGCATTTGGCAACACACAAACTCCCACAGTGAGACAACACCACAGTGCAAACAAAATCTAGCCAACACACCTACTTTCCGGGTGCGCAATATTTGCACATCAAATGCGGTTACCGAATAAATGCTGATGGGCAACAGCATGTCAACAGCAAGTGGATACACGGATAAATTCATCCTCAAGGGTGCGAAATGATGAAAGCTAGCAAATCACCGAGGATAAGTACGCCAACTGAACAAATTTTGTACATTTGCCATTCAACGGGGACAGTATCACTGACGCCCAATCCAAACGGATGCAAGACGCGGTCGAGGAGACCTATTCCGGTACACGTTTACCTGTAGTACAATATGACAACACCCTACTCGCATTATCTTTGAAAGAAACGTTGCCTCTTTTGATCTGACTATTGTTGTTTATCACAGACCATGCTCTTGTGGTCTAAAATATGTAGGTAGTACTACGAAGCACGTATCTCACACGACTTGTTAACACATCCCGAAGCGGTCTTAACGAGGTAAGGAGATGACGCTAACTACCATCACCATGTCACATCTCTTGGACCCCAGTAACGCTGGTACTAAAGTGATTTCCAAAATATCGTTAATTTTTGGGAATTTCACGCTCTGTGTCTAAGCACATCTCCGAACTAGTACTTAAGCTATGCGCGTCCACCACCTCAAATCGGAGCTGTTCGTTCAAACACAATATGTACACGTGCTACATCTGCTTTAGCCTGCAAATATTATAGCGTAATTTATTTATTGGCACTCAAGTGAACTCCTGGTTGCTGGCGAAAATGATTTACCCGGATTATCTTTCTCTTTACCTAATCTACTATCTTCAGTAGGGCGTGATTTAGTGAGTCAACTGTTGCATATTTTATGCTTGCCAAAATCTTCCTCCTCATCGGTAATCATCAGTAATATTCGCTCAGCATGTAAGTCCTACCATGTAAGCATCTGAGTTGGATGAATGTATAAAATGATTTGGTTTCATTTGGAACATATTTTGTACCTATCTCACAATTGGACTCCTCCTAATGAGTTGTTAGTTGGCCAATCACGTACAACTGACCTAAATTATTCAATTACCCAGCTGGATCTACGTACAGACTTCGAATTCTGGGCATGTCAATATAGTGATCGCTCTCTAGAAGCACAGTCTGTTTACCGTTCCCTCGTGATTTCATTCCTGCACTATATTTACCTGAACAAATTAAGCTACACGTAGTGATTGTGATGTTTAATGTTACTTCAACGAGAGTCGATGGAAGTTGGAGGTATGTAATGCTTACCCTTGAACAATGACCCTTCCATTTTATTTTACTCTACCCATCCAGTTAGTGCAATTGTGATTTGGCAAAAGAACGGTTTCTACGTGATCATACGGTGCTGTTTTTCTTCCGTGTTGGCGGTAGGGCTGAGTCTCAGGTCTTTTCAGATTCACATTAATCAGAGCTCGATGGATCCCTATTGCGACATTTTCATACAATAGCCTAAAGTTTTGCCCAGAAGCCGAAGTAATTGCTTCTACCAACTAGGTAAACAACGAAGAAAATTGTAAAGCTTTACAAACTACCATGTTAAAATTGCCAAACGGAATACCATGTGACCAAGTTAACAATTACCAACGGAAATATTATTGTTTTGTGCGGACGGCTATCCTTTTATTTCGGCGTATTTTCCGCCGGTCGCATATCTGTGGAGCATGTTAAACAAACATATTATAATATACCTGAATGCAGGCATTAATAGGATCAAAATGGGTATGAATTTTTAACGTGCAAGGCTCCCGGACGACAGATGGCCACGATAAAGCCAATGCGTTGACGAACTGTTTAGAGCGGGAATTCTTGTATTGGTTGAGGCGGTCGACATTCGTCTCAACAACACTCTCTTGTGTATAGACAGTTCGTCATTGCTTTGGTTTTACTGTTGTCAGCTGTCACCCGGACTGTTACCGCTTAAGCTAATCACACCCATTTTGGTCCTTTTCACAACTTTATAATACACCTTTATGATACAATTACACAATCCACCCTTTCTTTCTTAACAATATGCCTAAATATGGCAATAAATGTTGTGGTTCATCATAAGCCTCACTGGTCCTTATTTCAACCTGTTTTATTTTCCATAAATAATACGCCTAATCACCACCAGTATCGGATACTCTGGCCGTTCCCGTGTGAAACATTTTCATCACATTTTGGCCCCACAAGCAAACTTTGTGCATTGCTTTACGTACTCATTTCTGCCTTGTGACGTCTTGGGAGTCTATTTCCACGGACGGTGGAATGCATTTGATATCATCAAAATACCTATCGCACGTGTTCTGATGTTCTAAAAATGTTTTCTTAATATCCAAAGCTACAACATTTATCCGTTTGTATGGGCATAGTTAAAAAATAAGCTCTTCAAGACATTCCAATGGTCACTCCAGCTTAGTCCAATCAGTCACTTGTGCTAAGATCGCAACCGTAAAATTTCAAAATGTGCAAGAAACTAAGTGAGAACAACATATATTTATTAAGGGTTTAGCGTGACCATAATAATCATTTCTGTTTCCACCACATAATTGTGCAAGGCGGTGAATGATGTGCGAATACCTAACGCACCAAGGGGCATGAAGGATGAATCGCAGGACATGTCACCCGTTTCGGTTGCTTCACAACGCAGTACTCCGTGCTGCAGACTAGGGGGCCATTGCAAATTTCCACTTCCTCACAAACACCTGGCGCTATGAGAGTCTAGGAAAGAGTGATGGTGTTAGGTTTAGTTCGAAAGTTCAACTTACGATGATCTTGTAAGTCAACACTTTGCTGACATTGAAATCCTTGAGGACAGATAATATTTGCATATCTTTCTCATTCATGAACTTGTATTCCGTTTGCGAGTTAATGGCAATCTCGAGCTACACGAAAGAAATGGATTGTAGGTAAATGGTAAAACAATGTTTGACGCATGCAAACTCACGTAAATTCTGATCTCGCTGACTGTGGAAAGTGCTTTCCTACATTCATCCGGTGCGCTAGTCCCGGCGCTAGGCCCGGCGCTAGTCCAGGCGCTAGGCCCGGCGCTAGTCCAGGCGCTAGTCCCGGCGCTAGGCCCGGCGCTAATCCCGGCGCCAGTCCCGGCGCTAGTCACGGCGCTAGTCCCGGCACTAGACCCGGCTCTAGTCCAGGCGCTAGTCCCGGCAGTGGTTCGACGCGTTGTTGTGCGTGTGGTGGATTCAGTGGTTGCGATTGTTGTAGGGGTGGTTTCAGTGGGTTCAGTCTCAGTGGGAGCTGGTGTGGTGGTGGTGGTGCTAGTGGTTGGAGCTGGGGTGGTGGTTGTCGTGGTTGTAGAAGCCAGAGTGGTTGTAGTCCTCGCGGGGATTTGGCTTGTTGACGCAATTGGCTTCTGCGTCGCATCAGGGCATACACAGTTACAATTACAGCGACAATCCTTCCCGTCTTGTAGCATGTTCCATTGTGCGTGTACAATGTCATCATTCTGTTCATGGTTTACATCCGAATGAGCAACATGAAACGCATTCGTAAACACAGTGCACAGCACCGTCAGGACGATAGTCAACTGAACCCACATATCTGTAAGTAATTTGAAATGACAGAATTTTTAAAGTCTTGGTGGATGGGAATAGGGGAGAACGGTGGATGGAAAAAATACACTGTTAATAACTCCAGATTTGTTTGCTTTTGAGACCAGCAAACATTGCACGTTGTTACCCGAAAGCTATGTGCAAACTTTGGTTTTACTTGATGAAATATTCTGCTGTGATCACATAATACAATAGTAAGTTTTTACAAATGAGGCAGCACTGTTGTTAGATAGCATGGGTTAGATGTGTTTGGGTTGTGCATAAAACCCATAGTCATAAACTACTAACTCTCAGGCAAACGCTGTGGTACTTACCGTTGAAATCGTTAAGGAACCGCTGTCGAACAAGTTGCTGAAGAATTGCGTACTACATCCGTGGTATTTATACGGTCTGTTAAGCATTTCAGGGTCGTGAAACGTTGAGTGGATCCAGGCGATCTCTGTGTGGACAGACCACCAGCATGCAACACATGTGACTACGAGGCAAAGGAGGTATACTGGGATAGTGCACAAGCAATCGTAGTATGATGTGACTGGTCCATATACAATGTGGTTCATTAAGCTACTTTACATTTGAATAGAAGCGGATGAGTATGAATCGCACAGCAATTGTCAGTTACTTCAATGTCCGGGTAGATTGATTAACATTATCTGCTACTGCGTTTCAAAGATCCAAGGGACCACTGCTGATTCTGGCACAAGGCCAAACGTTTAAACGGACCGCTTTTGAACTGGCATATTCAGATCATTAATTTGAATATGAACTAGATTAGTTGTTTTGTATAACCAAAATAATATTTGTCGGTAAATATATGACTGTACTTTAATGGCTGCTCTCACACGCATATCTGATATTCGCTTACACTGTTCAGAAATGGGCAGTCGAAGTGTGGATCGAACCCTGAACATAGGGTGCATTGGTTGATAAATTTTAGCCTAGGCGACAGAACTTCCTTAGCAGTCATAGTCCCAAAGATTTGAGACGCTTTTCGGTTTGTTATGAATAATCGGCTATGTGAATGGGTTATCCATCGTAACCTTGTTTGTGGTTACAGTTCGCTTTGAATTATACCTTAATACACCTGACCGCTCGAACCATAAATTTGGCTAGGCACTAAGTGAGTACATTCAGCAATCGGCAATCTGCATCACCAAGGTCCACACCATACTTAAGCTATATCTAGCAAAACAGTAACTAGGAATAAAATATTGATTATAATACATAAATACGTGGTAATCAATTGCGATCAGAATATTAGAATTGTTCCTCAGCTATTCTCGGAATCTTAGTTAGCTTAAGAGCAGGCATAAAGGATTTTGCTGGCTTTGAAACAAAGTACGGTTGTATAGGCATGGACAATAAATTGCGTGCACTGAAATCAGACTGATCATATAGTTCGATGGAGCATGCTTGCGTATAAACCGTCGGTAAAGACATTTCAAACTATTTGCATTAAATTTATTAACGCAGACCGCAATTGTATAACAAAATGCCAATGAGTTTAGAGTCAGAAACAAATTATTCTTACCACTTAATTTTCTTTAATGATCGCGGATCAGCTTTCTGATTTTATGTCACTAGCTAATTGGTTCCTAGGATAAATTCAGTCCTGTTGCAATTTAGCACCACTTTTTGGGAATAAGGATTGCATGCAGTTGGAATGTGCATGCATGTTTAGGAAATACAATTTGTTGATTATTGCTCTGACCTTAATAAACAGTACTGAAATGGTACTATGAACGGTGGAATCAATATTCGCGTAGCTATTGTATGAGTCATCGTAATCGTGGATTATTGGAGCGGTTAATATGTGTGGGAGCAGTCGTGTGGGTAGGGGTACTGTGCCGTCTGGTAACACCGGTATAGCTGAGGGAAAGGAGTGGTTATGGTATCAAGTCTACATTGCGATTGACTTAGCGCTACGCTTATCTTGCATGTGCAGAATTTGCACAAATCTTGGGAACATATAGTTGGCTTCTGCCGATTATATATGGAGTAGGAACGGCCGCGGTTCCATTTTCAAATCCACTAAAAAGAATTGTGGAGACTGGTGGTGGGAGAGGGTGCACATAGCTGAGATGAAGTAGGAAGTGGCCTTACCTGCTTGACAGCGTTCCTCCTATTGTCATTGCCTTGTCATTGACTACAGCCTGATAAGGGCTGATAATTAAGAGCAGCTAGTAAACAGTTGCTTTTTGTTTTAATCTATTCAGCATATCGCCGTTTATTGTAGCTGTAGGAGCGTGATTTTTACCAGTCATAAGTTGCTGCATCGTTTTTCCTAGGTTTATGGTTTAGCTTGACACCGGCTCTTAGAGGGCTCGAAATGTCTATATTTGTTAGAGTGAAGTCTGCACCACTGGGTTACCTGCCATCGGGGGTATTTGGAGCATAGTGCTCTGCTTGTGTCATCGCTACCCGGCTCTTAATAACCACCTTTTCCCAATGTTTAGTACCTGTCCCAGCTGGCATGTACAATGAGTTCAAATCGTTTGGCCAAGCGTTGTTAAAACTTGGGTACCTTTTTTCTCTATCTGTTGTATTAGTGACTCTGTTCTGTTTTCGGAAACTATGTAAATTGACATCTCTGCTTTATGATAAAAACAGTTGTGATCCACTTCGGTGTCCCACTAATTATCTTTTCGTTTTGGACGTTTCTCTGAAGGTATGTAAAATATCTTGACTTTCCTACAGACTTTGATGATGAACCTCCTCTGATGTTCCTTTGTAAAGGCGTCAAATCAGGTTAAACCAGTAGATGGCTGAACTCGGTATGTTGGGCTAGGGTGAGTTTACTATCCAGGAATCTGTTCCATGCTTCTTCACATAAAAATATGAAAATATTCGGGCAGGAAACCTTTCGAGTTTTCTCTTTACACGCTGGCATTTTACTCGACTTCAGTCGTGCGGCAGCCTCTCAGTACTAGCATACTCACTTTAACCAAACTAATGCAGTCTGAAATTTTCAAGACTATTGTATTTCTCAATATAAGCATTCGTTTAAACACCTTTGATGCAACAGATGCGATTACTTGTCCAGCTTTTCCCGCATGAACTAGATCAGGTTTCCTGGTAGATTACCAAGGTATTCTAACAACTCCAAGGGCTTTTTCTAGCGGTTCAAGAACGGCCAAACTTTGTTTCTTTCAAAGTGGTGGGATTCAAATGGGTTGACCTTATCATTGAGTTTTGTAATAAGATCAGTGTTTCGGGCAGTACAGTCTTGTCGTTTTTTGGGTTACCTTTTTTGTTTGCCTCGTTTGAATGGTGTAAGAAACCCTGCCTTTCGCTTGTCGATTAATTCTAGGCCTTGTTGGAAATATGGTAACGCGGAGATACAAAAGTGCTGAGGAGGCTAGATGGGGCAAAGGCAGAAAAAAATGCAAGCGTAGCTGTCCCTTAGGGATAAATTCCAAGGAATAATTAGTACCCGACGAAAACCAACAGTTTATGTTTCCACGCTATTGATTGCGTAGGAATTTGCTGCTAATCGAAGGTCGGTGAGTGATGCCTGCAGGGTATGTTACTTGGTGTTTAGCAATCGGATGAATGCTTATCGGTCACAGACTGCCCAGTGGGTTGAGAGGAAAATCGATAAACCGACCTGTCTGGACTTGAAATAGCCGCACTGCATGGTGGTTTCAGTTCACTGCCTATCCAGAGGTCAAACGATCAGATGATTATCGATGTGAGTTTAATCCTGCTTACTGGCTGGAGAGCTGTTCGCAGCAAGGCGATGAACTTTGCGTGACTACAGGGTAGATTAATCACTGTCGCCCGAGAAAATTGGTCAGATGATGCGTTCCTTTGGCTGACAACTCTCCTCCAAAACTGCAATGACGATTTCGGTGCTAAGGCGATGGAATAATTCTTGCGATTGGCGATCCACTGGATAGAGCTGGTAATTCCGAGTCAGATGAGTGGAACTTGGGCGGTGTGTGATGAAAGTGATAAAGAATGATCTACTACGAAGAGAATCACAGGGAAATTGAAAAGATTTTGCGCAGTGTTCATAAAAAACTGTGAGCTATCCTTCCAACATTTTTCGGTGAGGGAAGGAGGACACATATAGGGATTGAAGCGTATACGCTAATCCACAGACTGCTAAGATTGCACGCAGAAAGCATTCAAACTATCGGAGCCTTGTTTTGTGTACGCCTGTCAGTGACCTTGAAACGTACCAGCACGTTTGAGAGAACATAGCTACTGTAACTGCGTTCCAATGCTATATGCGTAGGTAGTTCATTGTCTTATGGAAAGTACCTTGCATTTGCTTGTTGAACATCAAAATATTTTGCTTCGACTACACGTCTACTTGTGTTGTTTAATGCAGTTGGGAGTTCTACCGCGTCAGGCAATTCTCTACATGTTTGGAAAATACTAGGCTGCATGTCCATCTTATCGCAACTCGTCAGTACCTTGTACTTCTCACCTTCAGCGGGAATCCGACCAGTATTGGTTGTGGTTTTTGTACCTGCTGCAGTCTAGGTGTGCACACTAGTGATAAGTACTGGTAAGACTAACTACACGGTTAGTTCTTCGTGCTTGTGTACTTCTAGCTGAATTGAGCGACTATAAGAAGAACCTCCGATTAATCTGTTTGAATAATCTAGTATTTGGTCTACAAACATTCAGCAATACCACTGGTGATTTCATACAACTCGAAAATCCCAGGTTCAAAGGTCA